TTTTTCTGCTATATATTAAGTGGAAAGCAATGGGTAGAGATGCATCAGTTATCAAAACTCTGCATTTTCTCTTGATGGAGAGGCAGATGGCCTAGGTTTAGTGGGTGGTTAGGATGGATCAAACAAGTCAAACCCTCCACATGCTTTGCATTTAATACAAGACTGCATTTTCCCAATACAAGTTTTCTGGCTATAGTTATTCCCCTGAATTCAGATTGCTTTCAGTGGTATTTATGATAAGGAGATCCTCCTCCTCAAAGCATAAGTTTCAATTTAAGGGTAGCTTTTTGGCCAAGTTCTTCGAGTGGTCAAAAGTGCTTTTTTCCCAAAAGTACTTTTTTTTCTTAACTTGAGGTGTTTGGCCAAGCGTTTTTGGGAAAAAAAAATAACTTTTGGATAGAAGCAGAAGTAGTTTCTGAGAAACAGAAAAAAGTAGCTTCTTCCCAAAAGCAGAAGCAGAAGCAGTTTTGACTTTTTTTCTTGGTTAACATATTATATTAGCCATAAATAGTGACCTTTTGTTACGAATTAATTTAACCCAAAGGTGTGATCAGTCGGTATAAAAAACTTAAACTCATTGCGAATTCTTCTAAAAGCTTTGTATTATACCCGACCAATGTCAAGCTTTGTCAACTGCTTAACTTCACAATGAAGGTACATGTTATTATGGTTGCAGACTTGCATGGAATACATTATTTTAGTCAAACGCCACCCAAAAGAAGTACAATTCTTTTTTTTTTTCCCTTTTATCATTGCCGTATATATGCTGCTTAATTAAGAACATTCACCAATAATTAAACTCAACTTAAAAAGGATATTAAATTAATTAACCTTCACGCTTGAAGACTTGACAGAATTTGAAAAACCATTGTGTTAGACTTTGTCAAATCAGCAAAGTCAGGTAATTAGAAACAAAAGATCTTTAGCTCTTGTTACCCTTGTTAAAGGAAATTAAATGAGTCATTTTCAGCTGACTTTATGATGTTTTGCTTCTCTAAATACTCTAATTTAATTTGGAGTGTAAATTTAATGATCTTTACTCGCTCCTTTCATCCAATGCCAAAGTTCCTTTTGGGAATTTTGTAGCATCATAATGCTTTTATAATATGGGTACACCACTAAAGAAAGGATGAAAAAATTTATTAAATGAGATTTGATCCATGCTTTTCTAGGTAAAAAACATGGGTGCTAGCAGATAATATTAGACCTATTTTAAAAAATACATACATAAAATACTTAGTTGACAGAGAGATCATGGGTTCACCGTTCACGACGTGCCCCATATATTTGTCTATAAATCCGCCTCGTAACAGTGATATATTAACAACAGTAAACAACTTTTTTAATTGTTTGAAGTTAAATTTCGCATCAAGAATTCAAACTTTCGAAGTAAATTTCAATAGACTACCAATAAATGATATTCAATGCTTTATCCCACTTGATTGAAGATTGATTTTTATGTCGTACTCATTGAATCCTGTCTTCTTATTTCTCCTGTGCGATGCCTTTGTTTTATTGGGAGAAAGTCACATGAAGATTAAGTGACAAAATTACAGTAACTGGTTAGTGAATTTGATTGATTACAAATAATCTTATAGTGCTTTACTTCTATGATTCTAATTTAGTGTTACACAGTATATAGACTTATTGTCACGATCACTGCCTGTGTTGTTCCTAGCATATTTCCACGAGTCTCTTTCTCTAATGTGTTTTGTTTTAGACTCACTCGACCTATGTTTAATGTGTGTACCTCCTATAGCTATTGCTAAGTTTTTTTTTTTTTTTTTTTTTTTTGTATCTCCCTATATGTAAATATTTAATTGATACGTATTCGCGTCTTAATTTGTCACTTAACCATGGCATTAGCTAATTATGGTTTCGTTGGTACAAAGTAATACAGTTCCGCGGTGGAGAATTTAGTTATTATGTTTCTTATTTGTAGGCTATAATTTGAATTCTAATACTTATATTATTTTACAACCTATTTTAGAAAAATCAGCTCAGCTGAGTGACAATCCAGAAAGAAAAAACAAAAAAGAAGATTTAGAGTAATTTTCACCTATATTTTTTTGAGCTTAATGAACAAATATATTATCGGATACATTATTGCCGGTAGTACTTTACCGAAAATTATCTTGCTGCAATTCCACCCTTGAGGATCATAGTGTTCAGAAATGAACCAAAAAGACGAATTTCCAATATTCTTCCCAATTATGAATAACTAGATTAAAAAGTTAGTATCTTCACTCGCTAAACTTTTTATACGTAAGCAAGCTATTGTTCAAATGAAGATCCTATAGAGAGTCAAGAAAGCACAAGTAGTTTTTTTTAAGTAGATTGATAGCCTGTTTGGTCAAGCTTTTTTTTACGGGGCCAAAAGTGTTTTTTTAGGGCCGAAAATTGAGGTGTTTGGCCAAGCTTTTAGATGGAAAAAAACTGCTTTGAGGTAGAATCAGAAGCAGTTTTTAGAGAAGAGAAAAAACGTAGNGGCCCGACTAAATTTGGATTCGCACTGGAAAGTCCCATATTAGGGGCTAAAATGTTCCCTAACAAGGCGACTCCTTAAGGATGAAGGAGTACTTACCACTCCACCATAATCCTTGTTAGTTAAAAGCTAGAGTTATAGCTTGTTTGGCCAATTTTTTTTTTTTTTGGGGGGGGGGGGGGGGTCGAAAAGTGCTTTTTTTTAAAAGTTAAGGTGTTTGGCCAACATTTTAAAAGAAAACAAAAAGTGATTTTGAATAGAAGCAGAATAGGTTTTTGAAAAGCAAATAATAGCCCGTTTGGCCAAGCTGCAAAAATCAGCTTATTTTGAGAAGTGCTTTTTTTCAAAAATGCTTTTCTCAAAAGTACTTTTGGTGAGAAGCAGTTTGTGTTTGGCTAATTAGTTTGAAAAGCACTTCTGAGCAGCAATTAGTGTTTGGCCAAGCTTTAAAAACCTGCTTCTAAGTGTATTTTTCTCAAAAGTACTTCTCAAAAAAGTGCTTTTGGAGAGAAGCTACTTTTTTCTGCTTCTCCAAAACTGATTCTGCTTCTCCTCAAAAACACTTTTTTCCTTCCAAAAGCTTGGCCAAACACCTCAATTTTTGGCCAAAAGTGCTTTTGGCAAAAAAAAATACTTTTGGCCAAAAAGAAGCTTGGCCAAACAGGCTATAAATGTAGTTTCCTCACAAAAGCACTTTTTTTAAAAGCATTTTGAGAAAAATATGCCTAGAAGTAAGGGTGTTCATAAAAATCTGAAAAACCAAACCAAATCAAAAATCGAACCAAACCAACTATAAAATCGATACTTTTTAGATTTGGTTTGGTTTTGGTTTTGAATTTTAATAATCAATCAAATTTGGTTTGATTTTAGTTTTAATTCTTTGTCTTTACATTCTAGTTTGATTGGTAGTTTTCTTTTGCTAAGTACAAGAATTTATTTCATATTAAAAATAATGGATTTTTAATTGAGCATTTAAATTATTCATCACTATCTGATTCAATTATCATCAATATATCTTGGTAAATGATAGATTTCTCAAAGAGCAATTGATTTGATATGTTACGTTGAAAATTTAGTCGCTGGAATATGTGTTTGGTAGTGTATGTCTCATATTTAGAAAAAAACTGATAAAAACGGACAAAACTGAATCGATAAAAAGCCGACTTAATTGGTTTGGTTTAGTTCCAATATTTGAAGAACCGACTCACTTGATTCGGTTTCTTTTTAGGGAAAAAACCGATCCAAATCGACGAGGAACACCCCTACCTAGAAGTACTTTTTAAAAGTTTAGTCTACTCAAAAGTGCTTTTCAAATTAAGTTACCAAAACTCAAACGATTTTTTTACCAAAAACTGAAAAGTGCTTTTTAAAAAAAAAAAAATTTCAAACTAAACCGATTTTAGAAGTTTGGTCAAAAAAGGTAGTATTAAATAGGTTTAAACGAGTTGTCCCAAATACTTCCTTTATAGAACTAAAATTAAAAGAACTAGTAGTACTAGTTACTGCTGTATTAATTACCATTGGAGAATGCAAAAAGTAGACTTAGCTCTCTTCCTTATTGAAGTTAGACTTTTTCTTACAAGATTTTAACGTTGGAAGAAAAAGCAAACAATCAATAAAACTACTCCTAGAATTGCCATAGACGGTAAGACATTGACTTGCTTATCACTCACTCAGGATTAAATGCCTCTCTGACCCACATCTTCTTCCATTGAATGTGATTTACTCACATAGTGCAGTTCAGTATAGTCTTAGGGGCTAAACTTCTATTCAAAAGGGTAGACTACCTCATCAAATAATTTTAGCTTAGGAGTTTAACTTGAGTACACTAACAGCGTAAGAAAATTATCAAATAACATACTAAAAGATTTTTAAATTGATTATCTATAATAAGTGAAATTTATAATCTAGAAAATAAGACATAACATGTTATATATAACAAGTTAAAACATAGTGATAGTGTTAAAAAAAATTATCGTGTATGTATAAGTTAAATCCTTTGCTAAACATGACGTTACCGACAAGATTTGAGAAATCAGAAGATAAAAAGTCAAAGACGAAACCTAATTGCTCGGTGCATTCTCATTATGTGGGGAAGATTAGCTGCCTATTAATGGCATGAGGTGAAGCAGGATGTGACTTCATCGTATAATTGAAATCCAAGAACCGAAGGAGTGGCAGTTTCAATTTAGATGGGGTAGTTTAACTTGACACAAAATTAAGAAAGAAACGAAGACTTTTGAAACATGTAATCCTAAAAACTTAAGGGGTAAAAGCTTTGTGGGATCATAATATTTGTGTAGCTATAAAAGCTTCTTATTAAGGCTAAAGTGGGTAAAATGAAAAGTACAAAGTTAATTGTTTCTAAATATAGAAATATGTCATTCTTTTTTGAACGGACTAATAAGGAAAGTGTGTCATTTAATTTTAAACGGAAGGAGTAATTAATAGCCAATACAAAGTAGGAAAAAAGAAAGAAATGGAGTATGTAATAAAATTAACAGGCTAGAGGACTTGTCAATTTTGCTTGAATACCATTATCCATTTAACAATTTTTGTTCAAGCTGGAACTTGGAAGCATAGTCAGAAATTTCAGATAATACACAAAAATTGACCCCAAATTACAAACAATTGAAGCTCTTAAAAGAGTGGGGAGGGTTCATTATTCCTATCTAATACATATGCAGAGAGGTTTAAGATTACATGGAATATACACTTTATGCTCTTAGCAAATATCAGAGTTTAAATCAGCTCAGGCTATAAAGTAAATACTAAAACCTATGGAATCCAAATCCTAAGAAGAAATATTTACCACTATCCTTATTCTTTATTTCTTCAAAACAAATCAGCAGTTTCACCTAAGGCCATTCCCATTAGCTCTTCTTGTGCTTGTGCATTAGAATTATCATCAAGCAGCCACTTTTCCAGAAAAGTAAAAGGCACTTGTGTCTCCAAATTTGGCTTACTCTCCTCTTGATGAAAACTTCCATTTATTTCTGCCTTGAAATTTTGCTTGCTTTCAACTTGGAAAATTGCAGCATTATTATTCTCAGGTGTAAAATTACCACCCTCATCGACCGACATGGATTGTGACACATCCGAATTATTATTTGATGAATTAAAATTAAAGAGCGAGTCCAAACCTTCGTGTGCAATTGTTGCATTATTTATTGTTCCTTCGCTAGGGCTAGAACTCGAAACCGCACCGATTGATGGATAGTTGAAGGACGACATTTTTGAAGTAGATCGACTATGAGAAGATGATTTGGGTGAATTTTTCATCCAATTTTGAAGCAACTTAGCTATATTATCAGCACTGGATGCATAGGTAGTACATGTTTGGATTGGTTCTTGCACAGGAAGATTAGGACTGGAATTATTATTATTATTTGGAGAATCTCCAGTTGAAGGAGTAGTGTCAAGTGACAAAGCTTCACAAAGAGCTTGTTTAGCCATATGAATGTCTGTTTGAAGCCTTCTTTCCCATTGTCCTTTTGAGATTTTTGATTGAGATGATGAAGATGATGATGATTTTCCATCTTGATTATTCTCATGATCATGGCCTTCAAGCTTCTTGTTAAGCTTCTTTTTCAAATGAGTATTCCAGTAATTCTTTATATCATTATCTGTTCTTTGTGGAAGATATGAAGCTATGGCTGCCCATCTACATACACCCAAAAAAAGCACACACAAATCTTAGTTTCAATAAAATAATTTAAGATCTAATTAATCCCAAGCACTACAAATTAAATTAGGTAGTCAAAATCAAACCACACATCATGTGTTAAAATTGTTTACTGATAACACAAATTTTTTCTTGATCTAACCCTAAAACAAAAAAATAAAAAATAAACAGATGAAGATTTTTTTTTTTCATGGTCTTATGCTTGATTTTGTTAGTACCTATTGCCAAGAAGAGCTTGGAGGTGAATAATCATCTTCTCTTCATGTTCTGTGAAATTTCCACGTTTAATCCCTGGACGGAGATAATTAGTCCATCGCAGTCTACAGCTTTTGCTGCATCTTAGCAAGCCTGGATAAAAAAAGATGAAAAAGCCAGTGATTACCAATTACTGATCATGGACGGAAAAAAGTGGATCAAATGGCATATATTCATTCAATAAGAGTTCCAGAAAATTAACTACACATATTTAATGATACCAACCAACCCAAAAAACCCCTAGAAAAAGAAAAATAAAATTACCAGTATTAGTGGGAACAGCTCTCCAGTTTCCAGGACCATGTTCTTGAATGTACGAAACCAAAATGATATCTTCTTCTGGTGTCCATGGTCCTTTCTTAACCCCAGTTTTTTCACAGCAAGGTGGCCTTCCCATTCTATACAACGAAAAAGAAAAGGACTACAATTGGTTTTCTGCTTTCTCTTGCTTTTTTTTCTCTAGCTATATGTCTTTATAGAACATAATGAAACTACTCCTATGAAGAAACATTGTTGAGACAAGCGTCTAAACTAAAGGGGGTCCTTGTCTATATATATTATTATTATTATTGAAGAAGTGAGAAGAGAAGGAAATAGAAGAGACCAAAGCTGACAAAAAGATTGAAGAGGTAAAAGGGATATATCCTCAATGAGTCAAAATTGGACAGCATTAAGCATTTACTCATTTGCTTGCAAACACTAAAAAGTCAGCTGTTTTTGCTTATGCTTTAGTAATCGTTTTTTTATCTTTTTCCGCCTCACTAAACTTGACGACATTTATGACGCAACACATAAATTTAATTTCCTGCGTAATTCTTTTTATTATCCTCTTAAATTTACCATTCTTTAAGTTCTTGTTAAGTTTGTGTATATATTGCAGCGTATACGGAGTGAAAATGCTCACACTATTAGGGTCTTTTGGTAGGATGCATTAGATAAAATAATGCATGCATTAGCTTTGTGTATTAATAATACCTTGTTTGATAAACATTTTGGACCTATGCATTAGTTATGCAATCATTAGTTATACTGTGATAACCCAAAGGGTCATCTCGTGTTTTCGAACCCAATTCGGGGTTTCGAGGTCTTCAAAACCTCATATTTGTTCTCCTTGATTTGCGTGCGCAGTCCGAGCGCGGTTCCGGAAGGCCTTTATGTGATATTTGAGAAAAATATTAAGGTTTGCCTTTAAAATTAATTTAAGTTGACTTCGGTCAACATTTTTAGTGAACGGGCCGGGACTCGTGTTTTGACGGTCCCGGAGGGTCCATAGGAAAATATGGGACTTGGGCTTATACCCGGAATCAAATTCCGAGGTCCCTAGCCCAAGAAATGAATTTTTGAAGAAAATTGTTAAACTGAAATATAATGGTTTTTGGAAATTTAATAATGCTTGATCTTGTTGGTATCGGGCCCGTATTTTGGTTCCCGAGCGCGGTACGGGTTTAATATGGTATTTAAGTCATGTCTGTGAAATTTGGTGAGAAACAGAGTTTATATGATGTGATTCGGACCCTCGGTTGTGCAAAATAGAAACTTTAAGTGTTATTGAGAATTTCATTGATTTTGATGCTAAATCCGTAGTTTTAGGTGTTATTTTAGCGATTTGATCGCAAGAGCAAGTCCGTATGATATTCTTAGACTTGTGTGCATATTTGCTTTGGAGCCTCTAGGGCTCGGGTGAGTTTCGGATAGGCCACAAGGTGTTTTGGACTTAGAGACTTCTGCTGTTTTGTTGTTACAGGTGCACAGATGTGTCCTTTTTCGCATTCGCGAAGGATCTCTTGCGAACGCGAAGAGTAGCTTGGTTTGAATGAGAAATCCTTCTACGCGAACGCGAGGCACTAGTCGCGAACGTGAAGCGTTGGGGGCATTACCCTTCCCGAACGCGACCTGGCTATCGTGGACGCGAAGGCCATTTTGTCACGGACCTGGGGGAGGGGTGAAATACTCTACGCGAACGCAGCAAGCGGCTCGCGAACGCGGCAAGCGGCTCGCGAACGCGAAGGTCGGGGGGTGTACCTTCGCGAACGCGTACAGTATCTCGCGAACACGAAGGCCCTTCTGGACAATGCTTCGCGAACGCGACAGGCTTCTCGCGAACGCGAAGAAGACCTGTCTAGTGATTTTAAAACAGAACCTAAGTCGGGATTTGCTCAAAATTTCATGTTTTCTTCCATAGAACTCGACCTTGGGCGATTTTTGAAGTGGGGATTCAACACCAAATCATAGGTTTGTGTTCTTAAACTCATCTCTTTCATTTTCCATCAACACCCATTAGATTTCTAGGCCTAAATCTTGTTCTTTAAGGGTAGAAATTAGGGATTATAGGAGAATTGGGAATTTTACAAATTTGGGAATTTAGACCTCGAATTGGGGTCGGATTCCGAAACTAATTGCATATCTGGGCTCGGGGTGAATGGGTAACCGGGTTTTGATCCGAATTTCGAGTTTCGACCAAGCGGGCCCGGGGTCGGTTTTAGACCTTTTGGGAAGAATGTTGGGAAATTTATAATTTTTCATTAGAATTGGTTTCTTTGGCTTTAATTAATGTTAATAAATTAATTATGAATAGATTCGGGTGGATTGGAAGTGAAAACTAAGGGAAAAGCGGTATTCAAGGCTTGAGTTTGGCCGTGGAATCGAGGTAAGTGTTGTGGCTAACCTTAGCTTGAGGGATTAGGTATTGTTTGCCCTATTTGCTACTTGTTAGTTATTGAGTACGACGTATAGGTGTGGTAACGAGTATCTATACGTTGTTGTTGGGTCATATCATACGAGTGAGTCCTATACTTGTGACCGTGGTGTTTCTTATACGTATTATTCCTGCTTAAACTAGTTATTTTTCATATTAACAAGTTTTATTATGGTCTTCCTGGTTGAGTTGAGGTTTTTGTTGTGAAAATTAAATGATGAGACGGATTTGTTTGATTGTGATACCCTTGCCGGGTTGTTATTATTTCTGTTGTTCGATATGGTGAGGAAGAGTGATAAAGCACGAAGGGTGATTCCGTGCACATTTATATTATTGATATGGTGAGGAAGAGTGATAAAGCACGAAGGGTGATGCCGTGCACATTTATATCATTCGTATGGTAAGGAAGAGCGATAAAGCACGAATGATGATGCCGTGCACGTTTCTATTATTGATTGCATGGTGAGGATTGAGAGTAAAAGCACGAAGGGTGATGCCGTGCATTTTCTGTTTGCTGTGTGTATTGTTATTATCAGTTCAAGGTGTTTTACCTATTTAATTTCCTTTACTGCTGTGATTCGTTATGTTGGAACTCTCATAGCATGTTGCCCCTTCCCGTTCATTCCTGCTTAGTTTTTATTACTTGTTATTCTGTTGGTATATTGTTTAACTGCACAGGTTTATATTGTTTGTCGTGTCCTAGCCTCGTCACTACTTCGTCGAGGTTAGGCTCGGCACTTACCAGTACATGGAGTCGGTTGTACTGATACTGCACTCTGCACTTTCTGTGCAGATTTCGATGCCGGACCTCGTGAGTAGAGTTTGGGTTCCTGCCTTCAGTCCACAGGAGACCCAAGGTAGATCTGCCGGCGTTCGCAGACCCTGGAGTCCCCTTCCTTCTGTCTTAGATTTCCTGTCTCTTTTCATTTCGAGAACAGATGTATTTCTTTTAAACCAGTGTTTGTAGAAATTCTTAGATGTTCGTGAAATTGTGACACCAGATCATTGGGGTAGTCTTGTTTTGGATTTTTTGATCTATTATAAAACTTCCGCACTTTATATCTGTTTAGCTGTAGCTATTATTTTCTTTACTGTTTAAGTTAATAATTAACGTATTAGATTCGTATCTGTTGGCTTGCCTAGCTTTCAGGAGTAGGCTGGGTCGTGGCATATACATCCTATTTGGTATTATCCTATGCATAACTAATGCATAGAAAACCGTGGTATTAGCAATGCAATAGGCTTTAATACATGCATTAGCTTAGTTAAAGACAAAATTGTCCTTCAAAATTTATGCTTGACTAAAATATGCTAGTTATTATATTAATGCAAATTTAAATAATCCAATTAGTGAGAAATAAAATTATATCTATAGTAAATAAATAAATACTTAGCATTTTTTTTTATAAATAAATACTTAGTTCTATATTACGATATAGGTAGACAAATCAAATATTTTGTTTTAAACTTTTTCATATAAAAGCATTTCTCAACATATGTTTCTTTTAAAATGTTAGAGTGATGGACTGGTTTTGAGGGCATTTGTGTAAGCAAGCAATTCTTTTAGAAATTGTGCAATGCTTTAATACATCAAACCAAACAATGGATAAGAAATATGTCAGCATAACTAATACTAGCATAACTAATGCAAGCATAACTAATACCAGCATTACTAATACACCATATTCAACATTATTCTTATGCACCCTACCAAACGACCCCTTAATGGTTTCTAGCCAAGCAGTATTTCGTGTTCCTATTACATTAGTAGGTGGTCCTATATATTAGAGTTCACTACCCAAATGGTCACTCAACTATCTGAAATTACCTACTAAAGTCATCTTTCTTTCGTTTGAAACAAAAAAGTCACTTAACTATGTCTATAACACTCAGAAGATCACTCACCTAGTTTTCACAAACTTTTTATTGCCAAATACCTATTTTACCCTCTAAATTATCAACTTTTGTCTTCTTTTCATTTTTATTTTTAACTTTTTAATATTATAATTTTTTTCTCTGTAATTTGTATTATGGACTTAATATAGAATGAATATATTTTATTTATAAACTAAAAAATAAAAATAGTATTTAAGCATGTATAATGTTGGAATAATAAAATATTGAGCATACTATAAAAAAATAATTAGAATAATTTTTTCGTAATAAGAATTTTGATATTAACAACAAAAATTCAAAAATTTAATTACACAGTTGAGAATGAAAGAAAATAAAAGTTGTACAATATATATTCCACGCACGTAATATAAAAAATAATTATTTAAAATAAAGGTATTTTATAATATACATTATATATTCTTGGAAAGTATGCTCAATCATATTATTATCCCGACATTATATAAGCTAGAAAAATACTTTTTTATTTTTCATTTTATAAATAAAATATATTTTTCTAGAGGTAAGTCCATAGTTTAGATTAAAAAGAGAAAAATTATAATATTTAAAAAGTAAAAAAAAATAGATAAATCTTGATAATTTAGAGGGTAAAATTGGTATTTGACAATCAAAATTAGAGAAATCTGGTTGAGTGACCTTCTGAGTGCTACAAGGATAGTTAAGTGATTTTTTAGTTAAAAACGAAAAAATATGACTTTACTAAATAGTTTTCGATATTTGAATGATCATTTAAGTAATCGACTCTTTATATTATAGGGATGGATTAATCATGAGAAAATTCACTTACATTATCGCTAAAAATAAGATAAATAAAAAAAAATTATATAGGTGTTGTATTTGTTATTTGCTCTAACGCTTGATGAAAGGCCGCAATTTCATCAAAGTTATGGTCAAGGGAAATTGAGAGAGAGAGAAAACCACAATCTCTCCACTCTCTAACCAAATACCATTGACATGACCACATCCCTACCCCCGACGGAG